GCTGTCTTCACACTCACGGAAAACCTCCTGTCTCACTCCCCTGAGTCCTGGGATTACAGATGTGAACCACCACACCCTGCAACTTTGTTGTTTTTAAACATAACATTGGTTGTGATTTATGTGGAGATTTGCCACTTTACTTGCTTACTTGTTTTTGTTCCATGCCTGATTGTCCTTCTTATATTATTTTCCTACTTTTTGAAGTATGTCATCCATTTATTTATCCATTCGACAAGCATTCATCCATTCAACAAGTATTTATTTGGTACCTAAGAGGTATCAAATGCTTTTTGGGGTGCTTAATATATGTTAGTGAATAAAATATACAAAAGTTCCTACCCTCATGAAGCTTACAGTCTTGTGGGTAAGATAAGCAGTTTAAATAATGTGAGAACACAATATAGAATTAAGACAAGCATTAATATTTAGGTGGTGATGACATATGGAGTGAGGGAGGGCGGTGAAAGGGAGACAGGTGTGTTCCGAGTGGGCGGGACGAAGCACGGCGAGGACCCGTTGCAGTGTTAAGTAGAATGGCCTTTGAGACTTCTTCAGTAATGCTGTCTTGCTGGTAAAACCACTATACTGACATATTTATAAATGTCTTTTATTTTTGTTTCTAAAAGGGTAATTTTGCTGGTTACCCCTTTCTAGATTTATACTTATCTTCTAGTGAGGACACCATAGCAACCACTGGAACTTTCGGGGATTTGGCTGTCATTTTATTAAAAGTGATCTTTTTTCCTCCCCCCACCCCTTTCTTTCTAGCTTCCTGGAAATGTAGATTTTTGTTTTCCTTCACTTCTGGAAAATTTGAGCCATTTTTCCCTTTAAACATTTTCTTTCCTTTATTAGACCTGTCTTCCCCCACCCCACAGTTAGTTTAGACTTTCTCTTTCCATCTCTTATATTTTCTGTCACCTCTTTCCCTTTCTGCTTACAATTATAGTAAAATGTATATAAAACATGTCTTATAGGAAAAAGTTAGAAAATTTATTTATAATCTGATGTTTGAGTCTGATGTGTTCATTAAGTTAATATATTGTCTATTGATTTTTTGTTTTGTTTTAAAAGGAAAATTTTTTATACAGTGAAGTGTACACATCATAAATTATGTAACCCATATGCTTATGAGGTGTAGAACCTTTCCATTATTCTGGAAAGTTTCCTCGTGTCTCTGCAAGTTGGATTCTTCTCTGCCCAGAGAGAGCACTTCTTTAATTCTTTTTCACCATAGTTTACCTGTTCCAGAGCTTCATATAAATAAAAACATGTACCTTATACTATTTCATACTCAGCTTCTTTTATGCAGCATGTGTCTGAAGCATTATCCATGTCTTTGTACACGTTATTTGTTCCTTTTCACTGGCTGTGCAGTCTTCCACTGTTGCAGATGCTGTAATTTGTTTTTCGAGTCCTCTGTTGATAGACACGTAAGTTGTCTCCAGGATTTGACTGTTGTAAATAAAGGTGCTATGAACTTCCCTGGCTTTTTTTTTTTTTTTTAATGTATTTTGATTTCTCTTAGGTGAATACTTACGAGTTTAGTTGCTAAGTCATAGTTAGGTTTATATTTAATGTAGAATTTAAAATTAAAAAGCTGTAACTAACATTTATTCTAGACAAACAAGAAGTCAAACTGGTTATATTTGCTATTACATGTTTAAATTGATTTGTGAAGTCCTTCAGGTGCATTCTGAGTTTGACATAGTCAGTACAATTTAGTGATTTAGTTAATTTCATCCGAAGGAGCTTGTCAGAATCATCATCATTCTTAAAATCCTTAATTTTTGTTTTAACTCTAGCAACCTAGACTTACCATCTTTAAACCAGTGTTTTGTTATACATAATGTAAGTTTAAGAATATGTATTAGTTAAACAGCAAATGAATGAGAATAAAAATGATTTAAAGCAGCATAAAACTGCTTTTGTGGTGCTCTTACTGTTCAGTTGGGTAATAACCTGCATTAGGGTTGTGCTCATCTGGTTTCCACCCCTACTTAAACATGCTAACGGGACACTGAGGCTCTCAAACTGTTTGATTTTGAAGAGGAAAAAAATTAAAACTGCTGCCTTTTCTACCTTTAATGTTGCAAACACCAGAACACAGGATAGAAATTCTGCCATTTGGAAAACATTGTCCTTTGCTTTTTTGAAGGTTTGGAACTTTTAGGTAATCCTCTGGAACTCTTTTATGGCTTGAATCTGTGATTAAAACTATAATCCAGCTGGGTGTGTTGGCTCACACTTCTAATCTCAGTATTGAGGAGACTGAGGCAGAAGGATTGCCATGAGTTCAAGGCCAGCCTGGACTGTAATGGTGAGACTGTCAATAAGTAGATAGAGAGATAGATAGATACATGCAGAAGAAATGAGCAGAAAACCCAAAATTCAGAAATAACATTAAATTCCTTTGAAAGTATGGATCATCCACTTGATGTTTATTTTGAGCTGAAAGTTTCTGACTTTTGTTGAGTAATTTGGGAAATAAATAAGGATTTTTTGTAGTAAAAATTTTTATTCTGTTATAAATATGTGTGACACTAATTTGTATAGTTCCATAGACATTTAATGCATATCTGTTAAAGAAAACACACTGTTCCTGAATAGACATCTTGACTATAGGTTCCAAGAATTACTGCTTAGATTTTTTGGTCAGCAGCAGCTGATTTTCTAGTGGAAAGAGAAAGGTTATTGTATAGTCCTATGTCCAAGTTTCCCCTAAATTGAGCCAATCCACGTACATGAAAACAGACAATTCTAGCTAAATTAGATAAGGGTTAAACATACTTGACCAACTTGACCCCACACTGGCCCTGTGGTCAGAGCTAATTGTGGTAGATAAACACAGAGCCAGGTCTCCATGTCTTGCAGCTAGAGCCCTCTTGCCATTTTCAGGTACTCAAAGATGTTAAAGCTTTATGGTAGTATTATTGTACTGTCACAAAGGACACAAATCATCTGCTTTTCTCAACTGGAAGCTTATGCTAGTTATAATACTGCTCTCAAACCTAACAAAGGTGTATTAGGAGGGCTTGGTATATTTAAGAAAAGTGTGCAGGGGTATAGCTCAGTTGTAGAGTGTGGCCCTGGGTTTGATCCTCAGCAAGATGCTCACACATGCATACACACATGCACATCTTAATTATCGTATAGAAAAACCCATGATATACCACTTTAAAGATGCATTCTTATATTTAAGGTTTATTCTTATATTTTAACTGATATTTGAGTCCCTACTCTGAGGAGTGACCATATTAGTGGGACAAATGAGTGATAAGTGGTATCTTTGAGCATGTTTCAGAGTTAGAGAGCAAGTTAGAGGTATAATTTTCTGGTGGGCAGGATCTTAAATTTGTTTCAGGAGATTTATTACTTTTAAAGTAGTTTATATGTGTTACTTCATTTAATTTTAATAATACCTTTGTAATAGCCATTTCCGGGTTGGAACAGAGGAAAACAAAAGTGCTTACGAATATTCTAATTACTTCAAGAAGGTTTTATTTCAATGGCTTCTATAACACTTGCACTCTTTTTTATACATGTCTTAATTCTGAAGAGAACTAGTTTTCACAGTTGCTTTTTAGCCAGCATTTTATCAAGAAAGCAAAATGAATAGCACATTTCAGTTAACGACAATAGATGCATGTGTATCTGTGTGGTGCATGCATTTTTAAGTATTTATGGAGTGTAAGAGTGTAATATTAGCTCTATATAGTAACGGTCATTGTGTGTTTTTTAACCTAAGATTTCATTCCCATACACATGAGCTCTGTGAAATTATTATGACAAAAATACCAGTGTTTGTCTTTCACTCAATTTATCTGCACTTCATAAAAATACTTAAATATTACTTCATCATCCTTAAATTTGCTTTGCAGTGTATGAAGTCTGTGAAATAATTCTTGAATATTTATGAAGTAATTCTGATTTTTGCAGGTGTTACAGACCCTTAGTAATATGTAGCCTAATTTAGAACAGAATCCTCTATATTTTGCAAGATTTTTCATTTTTTAAAACTTAAGTTACTGTAAATCCACTAATGTATAGTCTTGTTTTGCTGACATCAGTTTTTGTGTCCTTTAAGAATAGTTAAGTTAGGCGTGAAAGTTCATAATACACTGAAATTCCTGGAGAATTACTGTATAGATAATATATGTATGTTGTGTACATGTTATATATCCCCTCTTTAAAATTCTGTCTTGTAGAATTCTTGGGTAGAATCAGCAGTTGCAGTTTATAAAAAGACCTTATGAAAAATATACTTTAAGAGAGTATAGTTTAGTGGGTGAAAGTGCACCTTAGTGATAGAGCACTTGCCTAGCATGCATGAAGCCCTGGAACTGATGCCCAGCACTGGGCAGGGGAAAAGTTTTAAACATTCTCACCACACACACACAGAGTAACTATGTGAGGTAACGTATGTGTTAATTAGCTTGACTTTACCATTCTGTAATCTAAGCAAGGAATTATAAGAGAGAATGATAGTGTGGTGTACTATAAGAATGAAAATGTTCTTTTCTTTACCAATTGTCCCGAATATATTACTCTTCAAAGTTTGTGTATATTACATTTAAAAAGCACCAGTGAGAGCATTTATTGATTCTTTCATGCCATAGATCTCTCCCTCTTTGAGTTTTTAATTGCAAATTTAATTCGCAAGATTAAGGAAGTAATGCTGTGTTCTGTAATTTATAGTCAGCTGTTACTTTGTGTGCATTAAGAGGGCATATTAATCTTGTTAGAGAAAATGAAAATATTATTAGGGAATGACGATGAGGTACCTTGTGTTCAGAATTTTTCAGGGGAAAATACATTTTGACTTCGTGGGATTTAAATGGCAACTTGGTAGTAGATAATTTTAGGAGTGTGTTCATTGTTCCTCTTCAGGATTAGTTCTGATGTTATTGCATTATGATTGTACTAAAAAGTGCCATGCAGGTGTATCACCTTGTTCCCCCCCCAGGCGTACGAGTACTCATACCCTTTTCGCTCTTCAGGAAAATGACTCAGGCACTTTGGACACAGTGGGTGCTGTGGTTGTAGACCATGAAGGGAATGTTGCTGCTGCCGTCTCCAGTGGAGGCCTGGCCTTGAAGCATCCAGGGAGAGTTGGGCAGGTAAGTAATTACGGGGTTTTAAAAATCACTTTTCGAAATACAACAATTTTCTAGCTCGCATTTTTGTTTGGTTTTGGTACCATACTGAGGATTGAATCCAAGGCATTTACACTGAACTAATCCCTAGCCCTTATTGTTACTATCGTTTTAATTTTGAGATTGGATCTCGCTAAGTTACTAAGTGGGCCAGGCTGGGCTCAAACTTATAGTCTTCCTGCCTAGCCTCCCAGAACGCTGAGATTATAAGTGTGTATGACCATATCCAGTCACAATTTTAAAACCATTACCTTTCCCCCCGTTTTTAAAAAGAAAAAAATAATTGTTCTTTGACATTTATCTAGTATAAATAAAAATTCAAATACCTTTTTAAGACTTTCTTTAAAGAATATCTCTGTCACAGTAATAGGATTCTTTCTGATATTTTCAATTGATAATCCTAGTTTTTTACTTCCGATAGGGCTGGGCATTCAGTGGATTTTTCATAGATGTGTATTGATTTCCTTTTTTTGTTTCTGTAAATGCCACTCTCCAAGACTAACTCTACCTGGCTCTCTTGCTGCTTGCGTTTTAGGTGGGAAAGTGATTTTAGTTTAGAGTTACATTTTTCATTTTCTCAATTCAAGGAGCAGTAAGTAGAAGGAGAAAGATGTCGCTCTTCATCCTTCCTTTGATCAAACATTTCAGGAATTTTCTAAAATAACTAGGATTTCAGGTCACTAACCTACAGTAACACTCAAGAAATCTAGAATGGAGGAGGGTCTAATTTGTGTGACATTGCTTATTCCCAGTTCCCTTGCATATCCTCTTCTCCTCACCCTCCCCACCTCTATCTTTTTTTATACTGCAGATGAAGTTAACAGTGCATCTGATGTGCTAAGTGTTCTGATATAAGCCAGTTTGGCACATTACTTCTGGGCTTAATAATTTGTTAAGTGAAAAAATAAATTGGACACTGTCATGAGGTAGTTTCAAGGGGATGTGTTTAAACCTAGTATTTGGATCTTACCTTACATGTGGAGCATGGCTTGTTGTATAGTGTTTCCTCACATTTGAAGAAGAGGTGGTGTCCCAGTTGCTTTGGTCATAGTAATTAACAAATGCTGGGGGCTGGACATCTGATTCATGGAAGATATATTTGCAAAATCATTATGTTGTTTCCTGATCTTTACATGGACAAGCCTTATACTAGTGAGAAGTGGAAGGAAAGAGTAATTAATTTTATGCTACTCTTTGCCTACCACACAGAAGATTTATGGGGATGATTATGCAACATGTGTACAGTGCTTTGAACTCATTATGAAAGGCTTTGTCTGGTCATGGTATTTTTTCCACATTATGGAATCCTGTGTGTTTGTCAAATTTGGGATAAGAAAATCAAACTTGGTGTATCAGATTTGGATGCCTTAATGGGGAAGTAGAGAAAAATGCCCACAGAGTTGCTGTCATTATATTTTAATTCCCATGATTTTCTCACCATTTTCTGTTAGTTTTGGTTAGTAAAATAGCAACAGGAGAACCAAGGGTAGTTCTGGACTATGTTAGCAGGATATTCCGTATAATAATACTGAAGCCATTCTGCCACTGCACATGAGACTGTCCTAGAAAAAGAAGTGCTTCTGTAAAATTTGTGTTTTGCTTTGCTGTCCGTGGCTATTTTGTGAATATACCACTTGTTAGAGCTGAAAAACTAGTAAAAAGATGTAGAGAACAGGAGTCAGGCGCTTATAGAAAAAGATATTGTAGTTGCTTGATTGATACATATTTCTAGATGAAGGTGATACAACAAGCCTGGAAGTAAGAAGAATCAGATGAGAAGTAAAGGACAGTCTTTTTCAATCAGAAAAATACAAAAACAAGTTGTGGCTGGACATGGTGGTGAAGGCCTGTAATCCCAGCAGTCTGGGAGAATGAGGTAGGAAGACTGCAAGTTTGAGTTTGGCTTGGGCATTTTAAGAAGACCTGCCTCAAAATAAAAAAATAATCTCTAGTGTGAAGGCCCTGGCTTCAATTCTCAGTACTTCAAAAACAAAAACAAAACCAAGAAAGTGTGCTAAAATGCGATACTTTTAACTGCATTTTACATGCTCAAGTGAGCATTTAACAGTGCCAGTGGTCAAAAGGCAATTTGAAATAGCACTTACTTGCTTCTCTAGTTTTGTGTAATAATTAGAATAATTTTGATTCATTCATACCATAGATCTCACCCTCTGCAAATTTTTAATCACAAATTTAATTCTCAAGATTAAGAAGGTACTGCTGAGTTCTGCAGTAATTAGAATTTACTATTCTACCCCTTCCAACCCACCTGCACACACAAATACAATTTAGTTGTTGAGAATGTGGAATTCAGGCAAAGCTTTATTGTAATCTTATCTCAACACTTACCATTCCCTGTACTTTGAATAAGTTACTCAACATCTTTTTGTTGTTATTGTTAGAAAACTGTTTTATTTTTGTGTACATGATGGTAGTTATATAATGATTACATTCAGTCATGGGGGATTGATGCATGTACCTAACATGTCTTAATTTTTTTTGTCCTTCCCACATCTTTAAATTCTACTTTCCACAAGTGTAAAAAGGTACCAGTTACCTTACCAAATTCTAGAATTTCAAATAACATAATGCATTTAAATTGCATATCGTAATCCCTCATAATAAGAAGTATAGCTACTGTTCATTAAGCACTTGCTGGTGTAGAAGGTGTGTTACTTCATGTGATCCCTTAGCAATACTACGAGATGGGTATTTTTACTGTCCTTGTCTTAGAGAAGAGAAAGTGATGGCCCAGAGAAGTTGAATAATAATAATGATAATAATAATATCATTTATATGATTTACTTTTACTACATGATAATATCCCAAATAAACTTCTACTATCCAGAAGAAGAAAGGTACACCTACCCCAGCCTACCCAGTAGAGGAAGATTGAACCCATGGCCTTTGCACTAAGCTACATCTTTAGTCCTTTTCATTTTTCTTTTGAGACAGGCTCTCACTAAGTTGCCTGAGATGGATTGGAACTTATGATCCTTCTGACTCAGCCTCTCAGAGTGCTATAATTACAGGCATACACCACCACACCTAGCTCTTATTAATAGTTTTAAAGACCTGCTTGAAGTATTTTATGCAAAGAAATGCGTAAGAGAAAGACAACCTATGATTCCTTCTTTAATCTTACCTGTTAGTAATTTCAGCCTAACCAATTTTAGAAAGTTAAGGAACACAACTTTGGGTCATGAATATTAAGGGAGGGCATCGTGGAAGGACATTACTTGGAGAGAGGAAACAAAGAGTAAGCAAAAAGTCTTCTTACGTTCCTAGAAATAAGATTTCCACTTGCATTCTCAGAGCTGTCCTTGGGGTCCTCCTTTTTGAGTGCAGGCTGCAGGTTAAGGTAATTTTGTGGATGGGAAAGGATAAATGTCCAGAGATTTCCATGAAGGACAGTTGGCCCTGCAACCAAGGTCTTGTATTTTCTGACTTTGGCTGACCCAACACCTGCCCCAGTGAGTACAAGTAGAATGACTTACATTCAGGTGTTCTGTTTTCTGAAGTCCCTGTGCTGAGTCATTTCTGAAGGGCTTTCAGTTGCCACACTGACCCAGCATTGTTAGGAAACAAAATTAAGGCGTGTATTTTAGAAGCATAGTGTTTTCAAAGGCAATAACAGATTGCCCATTTTTTGCCATATTGGAAGTATCCTGTTCAGTTCTTGGTTCTCTATCTGAGAAGGACATTGTTAGTGACAATTAGAGATGGCAACTATAGGTCACGTGAGCCTGGGAGACCTTGTGTCTGAATATCTTAGACTCTGGATTATTTACAAAGGAAGTTCATGAAGAGAGAGGAGTATGTGTGTGTGTGTGGGGGGTGTGGAAATTAAATAGAATATTTTCTCAGTTGAGAAAAGAACTTGCCAGCAATGTAAAATGTCTAGTAGGGGAATGTGTTCCTACATGAGGTAGAGAGGGTCTCAGAATCAGAAGTGGGGAAATGTTTCATGGAGACTCCTACTATGTGTGAAATATTGGAGCAACTGAGCGCTAAGGTCCTTATAAGAATAATAGAATGTCATAGAAAGCTGAAACCTATTTCGTCGCTATTTCAGTCTTTAGTCCCCACAAGTAACTTGTGGAAAATAGCAGTGCTGTTTTATGGATGTACCTTTTTTCTCCATCCATAGTGAATATTGAATGTATTGTTACTTGCTTTTTAAAAAAATTACTCAACAATATGTCTTGGACATCTTTTTGTATTCATTCCTTAAGACTTTTTAAAAAAACAAAACAAAACAAAAACTTGATTCTTTTATTTTTAACCTTTGCAATGAATTCCATGTATTGCTCTGCCAAAGTCTGTTGAACCATTTCTTTACTGATTGGCATTTAGGTTGTTTCCAGTTTCTCATTCTTCCCAACCATGTGGTAATGAACTCTTGAGCATGCCTCTTCGTATTTCTCTGATTGTTAGCTAAGGGTTTTTCTGCTCTGCATCTAAAGAGTGGAAAAATTATTAGGTATGATTCCCTTCTCAAGACAGAGAAGTCATTGTGGATGTTGAGGAGACGAATGTAGACATTCTGGGTAGGATTATTGGAAACAAAATAGGAATGATTGTCATAATCTTTTATAAAACCATAATAGCTTATTGTGTTCCTGATGATTTCAGACGTATAAATCTGCAGCACCACCTAAGAAAGTGATTACTTTGAACAGGCCTTTTGCCTCCTTTCTTTTCATCTGGCAGAATGCAGCATAGTGGAGCACATACTCTGTGCCCTTTGGTATAGTACTGTTTGCAGTTCCTATTCTGCCTCCCCGAGGGAGGCATGAAAAAGGCCTCCTGAAGCTGTTTCATAGAGGGTGGTTTAGTTAGATTACCTGCACCCTAGTACTCCAAAGCCCTGGTTAATTGTGCCAGTTCATTCCTTGACCTCTCCCAGACACTACTCAGTCTCTTGAAGCTTAGGTTTTGGTCAGCAAGCTTTGAAGCCATTCAAGATACACCTAGCTTGAGAACCACTCTTTTTAAGTCAACTATACTGATTTTAAAGGTGCATGCATTGGAGCTGCCAGAGATTGGGGAGCAGAGAGGTGGAGGAGTAGGGAGACATTGGTAAATGGTGCAGTGTTACAGTTAGGTAGGCAGAATGCATGCTGGTGTTCTGTGGCACCACAGAGTGAATCTACTTAACAATGATGCATTGTATGTCTCAGAATAGAAGAGATGGTAGATTTGAGAGTGTTAAGACTGTTGTTTGAGTAGTTCTTCTCCAATCTCTGGTACTATCATGTAATTGTTAAAACATTAGTAAGCCAGGCTTTGTTAGATATATTTCTGGAATATTATTATATCTGTCTGTTTTCCTTTCTCCGAGGCTGCTCTTTATGGATGTGGCTGCTGGGCTGAAAATACTGGAGCTCATAATCCCTACTCCACAGCTGTGAGTACCTCAGGTATTTGCTGCTTTCATGACCATTTTTCATAACTACAATCCTGCCAGTCATTTAATGATTAAAAGCAATACTTTTAGGGAAACATAAAACATATACTAACACACTGCATATATAAAAGCATCAGTGCAGGAAAAAGATCTTCAGTATCTGGGAAATTTAAAGGATTGTTCAGTATCACAGTGTAGATGCATTGTTAATATTTTCAGTACAATTCTGGGATTAACTGTAGCTTATATTTTTACATATGTAATTTTTCTCTAGTGATCTATGATAGTGTCAAATTTTGGTCTTAAAGATATAAAAGAAGCCAGACGTGGTGGCGCACACCTGTAGTCTTAGCACTCTGGAGGCTGAGGCAGGAAGATGGTTGGGAGCTCAAGGCCAGCCTGAGCTACAAAGTGAGCTAAAGGCCAGCCTGAATTGCATAGCAAGACCTTGTCTCAAAAAGGCAAAAACAAAACAAAACAAAAGATATAAAAGTAGCAAGACACTTGGAAGCTTAACAGATCATCTCTTGAGTGAAATGCAACTTATAAGATATATTTCAAAATGTACAGTTTATGAAATTTCTTTCAAGTACATTTTACTAAAACAAATCCTCTTATATATTAGGAAATTCATTATCATGTAGAGGAGAGAGAGAAAGAGGAGATGAGGAGAGGGAAGGGGTAGAAGAGGAGAGCAAAGGAGAGCAGAGGGATAGTAGGGGTGTGAAATACAGAGCAGGCAGTTTTAACAGGCAGAATGATTGTTTATTTCCATATTGTCATAATGCTGGTACCAGATATACCTGATGCCTTTTTCTTTATGTGGATGATGCTACTGGTTGATAAAATTGTACTAGTTTATCCCTTCACAGTGTTATCCCTCAAGTTACAGTCCTGTCCTCCCAGGTACCTTCAGGCTTTATCAGGTGGGCAGATACAGCTGACTTCCCTTCCTTTCTCCAGGTTCTTAGCACAGTGGTTTCTCTCCTATCATAGCAGTAAAGCCTGCAGTCCAGTAGCCAACCTCTGCTTACTGCCTACCCCTTCCGTAACCTTGGATGCAGGTGTTACGTGTAACACAGAACTGTGTTCTCTTGTGGTTTGCCTGCCTCTCCGACCTGCTCTAGCCTGGCTCTCAGAAAGTGTTTTTCCTTTGTCCTCTCATTGATAACAACGTCAGGTTTGGGCCTGTGCTGGATTCTCTTGACCTCCTATATGCTCTCTCTTGGTGATTTGGTGTTACTGCCATTCTCATGGTTTCATCTGTTCTCTCCTGGGGTATTGGCATTCACATCTGTCTACTGTGGACTTTTCTCTTGAAGTCTACAGGAATCCTTTTTGACTTCCAGATGTGTCCCCGTGGGTGTTGCGTATGAGCACTACATTCAACAGATTTAACAAAATACTTTATGCTTCATCCGTACCTCATGGCCACCTTTTACCTCTGTTTCTTAACTCTTTTTTTGCTTTTCTTTATCCTGTTCTTTGCTTCGACTTGAAAGTTTGGCACATTTTCATATTCGTTGATTCTGTCCTTTTCTACTGACTTGACCCTGTGATTTCCAACCCCTGTTCGCCTGCCTGTTTAGTGTGCTGCCTCTTGACCTATCTCCTCTCCTTGCAGCAGTGGAAAAGTGTGATTGTGACCTGCTGGCCTATGAGGTGAAGTCTAAACATGAACTAAAGTTGAACCTAAATCATCCCAATTTAATTGGTAAAAAGAACTGGTTTTCATTCTTTTATTTTGCAGAGAGCAGCAAAATATAATAATGTAATCCCACAAAACAAAAACAATAAAAAAAAAGAGCTTGCCATCTGTTTGTGAATTAGCCAGTGCACAGAATTAAATATACTTCCTCTCATATCTAGATGTTAGGAGCTGAATTCTACTTTAAAAAGTGAAACCGCACAAGTTTGCCTATGTCATTTTGGAAAAGAGAGTCAATCCCCTAGGGATTGTCTACCCATCCCCAACCCAACAGAAATTGGAATAAGAACATTCTGCACGAACTTGATTCTTATAAGTAGAATGTAGTGAGTGAGTGAAGGTAAAATTGTAAAATTAAAGTCCTCCCCTGTCTGCCTTGGAGATTTCCTCCTTTGCTCATCCTGTAGCAGGTGAAGATAGCTTTATATGACTAAAGAGCTAGCTTTGGGCTCCCAGTTTATGACATCCAGAATGGTCCTTTAACTTAGATACCTGATTTGTATGTTGCATCCTTCCCAAGGTAGAGGACTGACCACCAGAACCCAAGGATGACAGAGCAGATCTCAGTGTTCTCCTTATTGTGGGACTTCGTGTGCTTGCTTCTCTCTTGTTTTTCCTGGGACCGTTGGTATGAGGTTGACAATGGAAACATGCAGCTGAGTTGGGTGACCAAGTTATAAGAAAGATGGAACATGCAATTTTGCAGTTGTTTGTCTGAAATAAAGAAGACTTGTGCCTTAGGCTGTTACAGAAAATCCGGAGACCTGGCCTGCATTTTGGGTTTATATATCTTGGAAGGTGATAATTAAAAAGCAGAGAGAAGATAGTTAGTTATGGTCAGGATAGGGCTCTCACAAGGCCAGACAGGCGATTTGGTCATTAGCCTGAGGGATAAACTCCAGCATCTTGTTCTCATCACTGGATGGAGAGAAATGAGTTGGGGAGGGTGGGCATGGAGTGACAAGAGTGACTATGCAAACTCTGACTAATGTTCTGGCATCATGGGAATTTTCCTAGCTACAGAGGGAGTAGAGCAAACACCTTGCTTCTTGTCCAGATTCACTAGCTGTGGTCCTTGGGCAAGGGGTTATTTGTATCCCATGAATACTGTCAGTGCTGTGAGATTGGATGAATTGACCTGTGGATGGCACATAGGCCACTTCTGGGCCCAGAGTAAGGCTCAATACCTACTGTGCTCCATTATGTCTAAGTTACATCTTTCATAAAATACACCAGTATTTTGATAGCACTAAGGAAAAGAAAAATACTGCGTCACTTGATGGATGTTGTTACCTTACAAGAAAATAGAGAATTGGGGATTTTCCTTCAACAGGATGTATTTGCTTCACTGATAATAAATTCATACCCTATTGCTGTTTCCATCCCTTCCTGTATATATAATTTAAATCTCAATTCGATGTCATACTGTAAACTTAGTATGTGTAGTTCGAGCATGGCACATAACTGAAGGGTCTGCAAAAAGCAACAGCTCTGCAGCCTGAAGGACAGCATGGAAGGATGTGATCATTTAGCACAGACCACCTGATTCCAGAGAAATTAAAATGTGAAAAAAAATGATTTCTTTTAGATTTGATAAATTCAGTCGTTTTTTTTTTATTCTCAACTTGTTTTAAATTTAAAAATTAACTTGTTTTAGGCACTCTTGAGCAGTAAGATAAACTTGAAGAAAAAAAGGCTGTGTATTTGTGACACCTATGTGCCTGGCACAGAACCTGTCATATGGCAAGAGCCTAATGTACAAATAAAAATTAAGAAATGCATATGTGGTTCCAAACTCTTGTAGAAGGATGCTTACTGTTTCAAGAAGATTATTCACCATGGAATTTCTTTAAAATATGATATAATTTGCCAAATTCGGATTCACACATGATTTTTCAGTAACACATCAGGTGCCTAATATAAGATACATCAGTGGTCTATCACTGGCCAGGGAAAGGAAGAGCAGATTGAAGATCAGATCAGAAAAAAAAAGAAAAAGCAAGAGATTAAGTTTGTGCTCTTGTTAACCTTAATGTTGGTCTTCTGTTACTTGTCTGTATTGTTCTGTTTTTTTTTTTTTCCACCTTTAAAGAAAATCAGCATATCCCAAGGTAGTGATGGAAAATAACTGAAGATCAGAAGATGTAGGATTCAGTCTTTCCTTAAATGGTCTGGCACACAGGAAGTGCTACCTGGCTTCTGGTTTTCTGGGTTCTTGGCTTTTTCAAATCTTGGCTCTGAGAAGTCCTAGAAACTGAAGGGCTATGAGAGATGTGGCTATGACATACTAAGAAGAGCTTCAAAGATGAATGGAGCTTTTAAAAATGTGAAAATTTTAAAAAAATGTAAAAATCAACAACAGCCTTGTGCCTTAATATTTTTTAGCTAGTGATTAGAGTCCTCAAGGGCTAAGGGCATTTGTCACTGTTGGTTTCTCTGTTTCTCGTCTAATAAGCAGCCAAAGGTCTTCTGCCTCACTGTGGGGGATTGTTTCCTGGGACTTTGTTAAAAAAAAACTCCAGCCAAGGGACCTTTGTTAGAAGGCAGTAAAACAGCCTTCTCTGGGACAGGAGTGTCCAGGATAGGATGCAACCCGAGACCATTGCTGAGTGTCTACAAGCACACGCAGCCATTGCTCTATAGGGGTGGAGAAGAAACAGTCAGAAGTCTGCACTTCAGCTCTATTTCTAACAACACCTTTTACCTTTTGTGCTGTCTTGGTCACAAGCAGTGATGTTGATTGAATGCCCCACTGTAGTCACAGTACTGCATGCAAGACACCTAGGGATTCAGATTTACAGATCTCTCCCCATTTCTTAGCAATCCTTCAAGCTGAAACTTCAGGGAATTGTAAGACTTGAGGGTTATTGTTTTTCTTAGTTCTCTGATGTGCTCTTCAGTTTACTTTAGTCGGGCCTTCTTTTGTACCACCCTACCAGTCTGTTCTTGTCAATAGTAGCAGTACCGCTAGATCCAGCTCATTTGTCACTGCTGCTCAAATGACTTGCTTCTCCTGGAAATGCTGTCCTTGATAAATTTCCAGGGGGCCACACTCTCCTGGTATTCCTCTCATCTCACTGGCTTCTTCTCAATCTCCTTCATTAACACTTCTTACCTCCTTCACTTCCCTGTGTTTGAGTGACCCACGGCCTAGTCCTTAACCTCTTTTCTCCTTCTTTGTGTACCCACTCCCACAGTGTCTCATTCCATCTAATGACTAAGTGTCATCTCTATGCTGACAACTCTATATTTTTATCTCTCCCTAGAATTCAGTTATAATTCAGTTGCTTATTAACAGTGTATCT